GAACTGTCAGTGCCCTGGGCCAAAGCTCTGATCACCCCACCCTAATTATGTGCCTGTTCCTTCAGCCTCTTCCTGGAAGCTAGCCCCCAGCCCAAACCCAACCCTGAGCCCTTTCCAACCACCACCTCTCCCCTGACTGCCCCCTCAAGTCACAGTTTAGCAAACAGTCATTTTTTTTCAATAATTGCTTTGATACTGAAGTGCACTGAATGCTCCAAGCTAAGAAAACCACATTTAAGAGGAAAACCACCAGATAAAAGGAGCAATGTGACAGGTAACACCATAACTGTAATAATTTAATAAAGCTGCTTTTTTATCATCTTCATAAAACAGAACAGTAATTCATTTTCACTTATGAGGACTTGATCACAAAAAACCCTATATAACACCCAGTCAGTACATAGCACAATTTAGTCTTCATATAATCAGCCACAGAGGCTGTTGGATGAGGAGATGTACCCCACTAGCATCCCACAAGTCCACCCTGGTTAGACAGGGAAAAAAAAAATGGTCATTGCTTCTCTGGGCTCATTCCCCTCATAGAGGAGGGAGACACAGGCTGCCTGAATGACTCTTGCAATGAATACTTGAACGACCAAATAGCATGGCCAGCTACTGGTTGCTGGAATATAGCATGGGCTAGTCCGGCTCGTGGCCATTCTGGTCTATCCCACCTTATCTCAGCTGAACGCTAGCGGATGCCAGTGGAAAAACCACCTTTAGCCAGTGCTGGAAGGGTAGTGGGTGATTTGGTGGTGATGGTGGTGGCGGTGTTTTAGTTTTTGTTTTTGTTTTTGTTTTTTGGTGGTGGTGTTTTAACTAAGGTTGGTGGCAACTCTTAGGTTAGTTGACCAGTCGTTTTTTTGTTTGTTTTTAAACTGACACAGTGCAATTAGCAGTTTTCCACCCATGACAGACAACACATTTTCACTCCAACTAGATTTTTTTTGCATGTGTTTTCTTTTTATTTAATTTTTTTTTTACCAAGAGCTTTTTTATTTTTTTTCCAACATCGATCAGACAACATGTTCTTCACGAAAGCAACTTGTTTTCAACTTTAAAAAGTAATTGACAGTTGTACAACAAGTGACCCACAGGTCAGCTCCAGTCTCACAATAAACAGGGATTCGCTGCAACAACTCCATTAGGACAATGCATTACGCTCTCATGGATTTAATAATGAATATAAAGCCACCCAATCCCAGCCCCACCCACACATCCCCCCTTTGTATATCACCTTGTGTATACTTGAGAAGAAAAAACCCCAAAACAATGTTGCAGTAGACTTCCGTGTAAGAATACAATTTGACTCATGAAATGATTTCCTAAATGGAACTTCACCAAGTAGGCAAACACTAGGATTGTATACAATGGACTTCTTAAGCTCGTTTATGCCAGTTTTCAAAGCTAGCTATGCAAAGTGAGGGCCTTGCTGCCCAGGATAAATAGCGGAGTGGACCAGATTTGCCAGAAAGAAATGCTTTGGGAAAAAAGTCACCACCAAAATGAATCTCATAAAGCTAAATTGAAATTACACTTACAATTAGAGCTATAATATACATTAAATCTTTCGAGATCCCCAAAGGCCCGGCTGTCCCTCACGTCTCTGGGCCTTGCCCCAAATCGCCCTTTGTTTTTCGGATTTCCGCTCGATATTACCTTAATTTAGCTTCTGAATGATCATAGAGCTAAATGGGGAAAAAGAAGAAACGGAATTCCTCGAAATCCCATGCTGAAAGAAGGGTATTGAGAGATACCCTTGGCGATGTCTCAAGGGGAAACACTGCTGGGTGGCCCCATTGTTACGTCTCACGCTATGTTTCCTCAAGCATTTTTGACTGGAAGCCAGTGTGTTGTCGCCTATGGAATTCATGAATCGACATCTCTTGTCGATAGCTCTAGTCAGTAGGTTTGTTCTTTCAAGATGAACTGTGGGTTCCTTGTGCCCATCATCTATACAGCAAGAAGGTTGGTGGTAATGTCACCCACTGTCTTTTAGTAGGGTGGCAGGGATGAGGGAGGCTTCATCTGACCAGGTTCACACCTTACTCATTATAGGGGAAAGAAAGGAAGAGAATCCATGTTGCATGGTTTTCTACTCCTTAGTCCCCATATGTTATACTCCCAGAGTTGGGGAAAAAAAATCAATCAATTAAACTAAAACTAAAACCCTCCATTTTGTACGGAGGCGCTTCCAGCCTAGGGAGATACCCAAGGCTGTGGGTAACAGAGCTGTTACTGCTCTTCAACTCCCATGCCTCTCATTGTGGGACATCAGATTAAATGGAACAGGGGCTCCCGATGCTTTGGGAGCTAAAGTCCTTCCCTCAAGTTAAGGTATGTGGCATGGTTTAGGGATGTGGGTGTGAAGGGAGGGAGATGGAAGAGAGGATTGGGGTATTTGGCCCTCTGATCTTCGTAACCTCTCATCAGGCCTTTGAAGAAGCAAGGAGAAGAAAACATCAATTGCCCCACCCACTCAGGGAAATTTAGGATTCCTTGCACACAGTTCTGGTTAGATATCACAGCCTGGCTTTACCTGGTTCCCAAAGCCTTCCTAGGAGGGGTCAAGTAGGGCAGTTGAGAAAAAGGCTATTTTTGTGCCATTCATATGCTCAGTTGAGGGCTTGGAAGCCACAACTTCTCTGATTGTCCACTGAGAGATCCATATGATTGAGTAGAAACAAAGGCATCTAGGTAAGGAGAGAGGACAGGCCTCCAAAGCGAAACTGGATTTCTAAGACACAGAAATGGGGGGTGGGAGGGAGAGGAGGGAAGAAAAGGGGGAAAAAATCCTGTCGGGGCTGATCCAACCATTTTTGACTCTACTGGTAAGAGACACGGCAGCCAGTGGTCTCTATGGCTCAGCAACCACAGAAAGTAACAGTTAGCGTTCTCTTTTTCTGTAACCTCTGCATCTCCCCGGTGCCCACTGAGCATAGTGGGAGCTACAGCTGTGTAAAGACTGTCAGATCTGACTTCAAAGAGACCCTCTGGTGGTAGCTAACAATCTAATATCAGAATAGATGGTAGAACACAATCTACATTTTACAGGCAGCACTAGTCATTAAAAGGGGGGAAGGTTTCTTTCTTCTATTACTCTAACGAATGGTCAATTGCTAAAGAAAAATAAACTATCTAGGATTTCAATGTCAGTGCGCTGCCATTGGAAGGAAATAAACGGAAAGGAAAAGAACATGGGATCAGCAGAGAATGAAATCCAGTGAGAACAGAAACATGTAGATGGCATGGTAATTGATCTCTAATTGTGTAAGTTTCAGAGGAAAATTTGAGGCTATGCTAATAATTTGCATGAGGTAGTAGTATTCAGCAGTTTCACTAGAGATTCCTTCCGAAACTCTTTATCCCTCCCCTCCCTCTGCCCCCCTATCCCCCTACCACTACCAGATAGATAAAACATTCTTAGTGATGAACAAAGGCAGACACTCGGACAAAAAAAACCCATGGAAATGGTGGAATATAGTTGACTGATCTACCTTAACCTCAAAAAGAAGAAAGAACAATCTCATTTGAATGCTTGTGCCCTGACCTTGGAAACTTTCTTACTGGGCACTCCTGTGAATTTCAATGGTTGACACTAATGAGAAGAAGAATCAAAACACTTGGTCATGGAGAAACAACTCTTGTCCTTAGAAGTTCAAGGCAGAGAGAAGATCAGACCTCGTTTGTTTTGCTTTGTTTTAAATAATGAACACTTGGGTTAAACACATACACACACACACACATACACATACACACACACACACACACACACACACACACTCCTTTGGCTAGGAAACACAATGAATGAGCTGAGAATTAAGCAAATGAATTTTTAAAACGGGGGGGAGGAAATTTTAGAAAATGGCAAATAATAGTCAGTTTGGTTAAAAGAAAAAAAAGAAAGATAAGCAAGTCTTTAGAGGTTATAAACTCTAGCCTATGGTTGTTTGTTAAGCTAAGTCAATTTAATGGGTTTTCATTTTAGTGTCTTCATTCATGTTCAAATCTTTAATCACCCCAAAATGTGCTCATTCCAAAAAGACTAACTTTCAATTTTCTCCATATGGAAGGCACATAAATTTGATTAGTAATGTTGCTATGTTTTCCCTAGGTTGGCCTAAATGTTATGCTTTCTATTACTTACTCTATCCCTATTTGGAAGCCTAGGGTACAGAGAAAGAAGATTTGAAATTTCAGGCCTGTGATAAGCTATGCAAACCAATCCCAATCATGATTGGGGAACACTGAATCAGGAAGTGTGGGTCTGAAGACATGCTAATTTCTCTCTCTAAATAGATTCAGTCATGTTGGGTTTTAGATGATTGGAGACAGGGAATAGTGAAACTTGGGAACCAAGGAATTCAGGGAACAACTTTTCCTGCTCAGTGCCTGAAAATTAGAAAAACGGATCTCATAAAACTTTCAGCAGAGTATTTCTGACACCCGCAAATTAGGCAGCCGACTATCTGAAAATGCCTCTCTCCAATGAGCTAACATCGCTCTGTGAAAAAGACTTTGCAAATGATGAGCCATCATTCATTACATGGGCTCAGGATTGTGCCGTTTCCCCCAAGTTTTCCATCTCTGCATGCGGTACCTAGTGGTGTGGCTGCCAGTTCAGGGAGCTGTGGTTTGTTTTGGAAACACAACTTTTAAAGCCCGCTGCCATCATCACAAGTGTGATAATCAGAAACACTGAATCAGAGGATAGTAATCAAGTGACAACAAACGGAGTCTTCTTTGTGGGCAGGTGTCCATGGGAAACTAGCAACATCGTCAGGTGCGTCAGGTGCGTGAGTTTTCCAAGAGTCTTTGTAGGGATTCGACTTGAAGTCATTGAATTCCTGGTAGTACAGTGCCTAGGAAACAGCCAGTCGCTGTCTGCCAAACGAAGACATTGATGTGTTGATTAAATGTCCAGATAGCAGTGTTTTTGTTTTTTGGGGTTTTTTTTTTTTTTGCTTGTTTTTTGCTTTTTTTTTTGTTTGTTTGTTTGTTTTTGTTTTTTGTTTTTTAATCCTTTACAAATAATCTGAGCCGTAACTAGAATAGGGCGCATGAGCCTTCAGTCCAGGGTACTCACATGAGGGTGTGCTTCCTCCTCATGGTGACTGCTGTCCCCGGTTCTCCCCCACCATGGTCCTCAAGAGACGTGGACGGCAGCTGCCCCTAATTCATCACTATGGCAGCCCTCTTCTGAGATGCCTTCCTACCACCTTTAGATTGTGCTCTGCACCTTTCCATCCCCAAACTAAATTTGCCCCAGGCCCAGTCTGGGCTAGTTTCGGCTCCATAAACAATAGTCATTTACATTATAATTTTACTATAGAAAAATATAGAAATCCAAAATACTTAAGACATAATACTTCTTACAACTCAATTTGTCTTCCTTTTGTCCCACCCCAAGGCCCCCAGAAACCAAAGCTAATTTGCTCCAAATGAACACCCCTGTCTCCTGCTGAAACAAAAGGGATCGTCACATTATGACAGTATCATTCACAAACAAACAATACACTTAGGGAAAGCTTTGAAATACAGGCATTGGTGAGCCACAGAAAAGCTGTTGAGCTGGTTGATTCGCACATACATCACCATGGTTGTTCTGTGTATCTTTCGTCACCATGGTTGCTCCTCCTCTGCATGTGGCCAACCTACAGCACGATATCCTTCAGCCTCTTCGCTCCCGGGGACTCTTTCTCGGGACTTTCAGGCGGAAGAGGGTTGACTTCGCGCACCACTTTCTCGCCGTCGGCTCCGCGTGGCTCCGCTTCAGTGGGACGAGAAGGCCCGTTGTTGGGGAACTGCTCCACGGTGTGGGTAGCAGGGCAGTGTATGATGGCACTGTAGGTGACCATCGTTGGCTTGGTGGGCAGAGAACTCTTCAGATGGAGAGGCGAAGTGACCGGGCTAATGGCTTCGCAACCGTTGCCTGCCTCACGAATAGCGCTGGTGACCTTGGGACTGCAGATGGCCAGGTCTGCCGCTCTCTTGCCTTTCTGGGCGGAACGCTCCTCGGCATGGTCACCCCCATCCTTGCCGAAGGTTGCAAAGGTCCTCTTCGTCGTTGTGCAGTCGTCGTAAACCTCAACATCGGCAGCCGTGGCTTCAATAGACAGGGTGATGATGTTTCTTCCACGATCTGGGGACTTGGCCCGAGTAGGAAGAGGGTTCCGAGGCATCCAGCACCTGTCGGAGTGACCGAGAATGCGGCATTCTTCCCTGCAATGAAAGCCTTCATTTTGATCTGTTTAAAAAAAAAAAAAAAAAAAGGAAAAGGTCAGTTCCATCGGCCTTTCTTAGTATCCATTGTGGTGCCCCACAGTCTAGTTTCTCAGGCCCCACATTCAAGGCCAACTCAGAAATATCTGTCACCTTCCAAGAGTCAAGCTTCTATTGTGTTTGGACCAAGTGTTAGGCAACGGATTGCTAACAGGTCATATGTGAATCGTGCCTTCCGCATCCTTTTTATTTGTGCTGCTGTTCCCACTGCTGACGGAACTAAAGCCGAAAGGGAAACAAGTTATGATGAGAAATATATTAAAAAAAGGTTTGTCCCGAGTGTCGCAGTGCTGCTAGTCAGCATTTTTGTTATCAAGTGGCCTGCTCAAAGGCAGAATATTGGAAACTTTGTCCAAGAGAAGGGGAAAAAAACCACCCAACGCTCTAGGTAGGACATCTACAGCCAGGCTTTCCTTATCAAGTGTTTTTCTAAGCTCTCTTCACTCCTCTTTTCCCACTCTTCGAGATCCCCCCGTTGACATCCTACTCTCTAAAGCCCAATCAGAGGGCAGGGTAGAGGGTCCCCAGTGGCAGCAAGCCATTTCCAGAGCCGATTCCCCCAGAGCTGGGGGCAGATGGACAAATCTTGGCCTTCTGCTCAGCTTTACCTTAGCTTCCCCATGCCAGCAGCTCCTCTCTCTTCTGTCCCCCTCCCCAGTATAGACTTAACAGGGCTGAGGTTTAAATACTGATGCCCGACTGTTTGGACTTCATCTCCTTCACCCCATCCCTCAGTGCTATTTGACTCAAGCTGGGTTTCTCACAGGCAGCAGCAACAGAACAGAGAGCATTTAGAATCTGCTGCAGAAGGGGTCAGTGGCTAGGGCTCAGCATTTGTCAGTTAGTAAGGCCTTTCTAGACCAAGGTCATCAAGGGCTAAGCCTGCTCTGGGGGCCTTGGAGGGCTGGGCCTCATAAGGGTTCAGTTTCAGGGCTTCCTTCTGCTCACCTGCACTCCCCCACTCATTTTCCATGGGGTGTTTAGCACCTCAGCTTTCTGGCTACATTTGTATTTCTACCACATTCTAGCACGAGGCTCAGCTAATAAAAATTCTCATCACATCATACGATGCACCAAAAATATGAGCAGCTTAACATTTATAGAAACTCTTGGATGGGGGAACAGGGGTAGAAAGGTAAAATATATGCACATATACACATGCACACACACATACACACATACTCACTGGAACCAAAATCATTGAAAAATCATGCCCCAAATGTTCACGGGGTCCCTAGCCCTACTGCACTCTCTGGGAAAAGCAAGCAGCCGTGGAAGCAGTCGGTATTTCCAGGGCCTTGGCTCACAATGCCTGGAACCTCCCATGCACTGCAGCCAACATTGCGAACGAGCTTACCCAGAAGGCAGGCGTCCTATATGGTGATCTTACTTGTTTTGTTTTGTTATTAAAGATGTTCAATGCATAAGCAAAGCAAGACATTGCCCTGAAAATTATTTTTGCTCTGCCTTGTTCATCCGTAATTTAAGATGGAAGACTGTGGGTCCAGGTGTGGGGGGGGGGGGACCTCCAGAAACTTTGGCTGAGGAGACCTTATGTAGTTCAGCCATTAGGAAAAAGTCCTTAGGGCTAGCTTAGTCCCAGGAAGATGTCCATTTGCAGCATATCCTGGAGACTGTCGTCTGATCTCCCTCGAGCCAGCTGAAAGCCAACCGAGAGCAAGACCTGGCTGAAACCTAAGTAAGTGCAGCCAGGTTGAACTGGGCCAGGTAAGTCAGCTCCCAGGGGCTGGAGGGAGGGGGTGCTATTTGTCCTCATCACAGTTATTAGCAGCCCAATCACAGGGATGGAGAGAAAAAAAAGGCAATGACACCTCCCAACCGAGTGCCTCCTAAACCCCAGCCAGCTGTGAAACATCCCTGTGGGATCAAGAGGATGGATACAACAATGACAGCAAAATTACCACTGATGATGCACCTGGGTAGAAAAGCGCCATCCCACTTCCAGGGCCCTCTCCCCGCCTGAAATTGGCAAGTGGGAAATTGCCATCTGCTCCTCACGCCACACAGCACATCCACCAGGACCATAGAGCCCAGCTTCCCATTCTGCAGAATCCCAGGAGACGGTGAGCTCCCAAAGCTTGGGCACCTACTACGTAGTAGGTACTCAATAAATCAAGAAGGTCCCTTCTAGCTCAGAATCTCTGATCCTGTGATGCAGGTTCAAATAGCAGCCCTGACACTCTGCAGGCAGCATGACCTTTCTGCACCTCAGTTTCCTCATCTGTGCAATAAGGGGATTACACTAGATGATCCCAATAAAATGCGAGCTTCTTGAGGGCAGGACTTGGTTGGCTTTTTTTGGCTTTGCATCCTGTACTAGATATAAATTACCTGCAGCAGGTGCTAAAGAAATGGCTTTTGAACTGGATGGAACTACTTCAAAGGTCCTTGCAAGCATGCATCTGTGACCCGGTATAGCCTTGGGCACATCCCTTCACTGGTCTGAGCCTCAACCTCCTCATCTGTGAAATGCACGGAATGGCAGCTGGCCCCCAGGCTTGTGGCAAGGATCAAATGAGCTAATGGACAGCCACCATTCAGTCCACTTGAAAGACTTCTAGAAATGTGAGCTCTTGTGTGTGGCCTCATCTGGAAAATGAAAGAGTTGTGCGGGTGATTGCTAAGACCCCAGCAGCTCCTGCTCATGTAATGCTAGAGGAGGGTTGGTAATGGAGGCAGAGGGGAGGAAGGAGGGGAGGTCAGCCTGCTGTTTGGGGGGGACAGAGGAAGAGGGGAG